AATCATATTAACGCTTGGTGGTATTCAATGCTTCTACTCAAAGCAAAACGGAAGGGCTAGGCCGATAATTTTTTAAAGGATGCTTGGAATCTCAGGCAAAAAATCTCTTCTATGATCATTCATAATCGCTTAATTGGCCATGTAAGCCGGAGTTTCTTTTAAACTGTTCGCTGGTAATCTCCATTCTTTCATATTAAATAGCAACATGTTATCCAAACCTTCAAGGTTTGAGAAAATTTTCTTTTCTGAATCGATGACCTAAGTAGCTTTCAACACGGGCAAAGTGATGTAATAAAGCATCTAATATTGGAAGGAATTGATATATAATTTAAATTTATTTACCTAAAAGCATGAGAAATAGTAAATGATATCGTTAATGATATGCTTTGTTCTAACTCATTAGAACCAAAGTTTAACGGATCACTTGGACTTAATTACATAGACCTCCTATTATTACTATATTATTTCGATATGCCACTTCAAGATTACAATGAGCAAATAGTTAGGCACAAACAATTATCAGATACTTGTTTGTCCAGATTTGATGAAAGACCTCCAAGGCATCCAAAAGACGGTTTTTGCGCTTATCTTCTCGGAGAGCCATATCAAAGCTACTGCTGTCTGCCAGAAAAAGAATAGCTGTCACTCCATCGAAGAGTTGTATCCACTTTTTTCGGGCACCTTGTTGACCTCCCACATCAAATACTCTGTGAAAACAAAAATTCTTAACAGATAAGCAGTCAAATCATCTTTCATTGTAAAGTCAGGGTGAGAATGATTGGTGTGAATATTTGAAACCAATACAAATGTTTTTTTAAAGGCGAGAGTATTTTACAGAGGAGGATTTTTTAGTTGACCATACTAATAGGTTTCTCATTACAATATTCCTAAAAACTCAGCCCCTCTTTCGTTTGCACAATTTTATTTGAGAATTGGCCTTCCTATGTATATTGTATACGTGAATCCCATAACAGTAAAACAGTTTGTACTAAAATGCACTCCTTCGTGGGCAAGTAATTCCGTTTCTTATGATTTTATTTGACTGATTTAACACCTAATATCCTTTATTTACGGTGTAAGTAGGTTTCGAGGGTATTAATTCTTATTCCTATCCCTTACTTCTTTCCTTTTCACCGTTGTTTTTTATTCGCTAAATTTAAGATTAGCTAACTATCTGAGAAAGTATTTACACCTTATCTGTTGCCTAAACTATCAACTTCGGACTATACCTGGCTAGTTTTATTATCGATGAACTCCAACTTTAAAGATCAGTAAAACACTTCGGTCACACAGGAGAGGTCGAAACTTCAGTACATTCTGGATGAAAATACCTTCTGGGTGTCAAGGTTATATCAAATTCAATGACATCGTGAGGCATAACCGTATTATAGTCAGAAAATGCAACTCTTAACCTTTTATCACTTTATGCGTCATAACGGAACAATGTCCAGTTTTTCCTACTTTTATAAAGATTGGATCCTTGGCTTAGTGCTTTTAACAGACTCTGCAATGACAATCATGCAGGCATAATTCCTGAGGTGATATAATGCGGGTAACAGCATTATGAAAATTAGCTTCCAAGCAAATCATAGCAATAAGATTATTATACATTTATTCCA